CTGGATGGACTACTAGCAGGACTGGCGACTCCGCAACTTCTCACTGCCCGGTTCAGCCCAGCTCTGGCTAGTGTCGAGGCAAGGACTGGCTCTGCGCGCGAGTTGGACTTCCGACGCTCTGCAAAGACCTAGAACCCAGGGGCTGCCCAAGATCTTAGGCAGTACGAGCACCATGCCTCAAGCGATTGAGGCCAAGCTAACCGTCCAGACAACTAACTGTCCAGGGAAGCCCGGCGGCCAGCAAGGCGCCTGCATCAGCTGCGAGCACTGAGGCACAGTAGCCCGCCTAGTGAGTGCGAATTCGAGCTCTATCCAGGGCTTCCCGGCCCAAGACCTAACTCCAACCAAAATTAATTGAGCGGGCAACAGAAAGCCTCTGGGTGCCATGCCAGCAGTGAAAAAGGAGCTCCCGGGCCGCGAGGACCTAGCCCTGGCCCTGGCCACCTTCCACCCGACCCTGGCCGCACTGCCGCTGCCACCACTGCCCGCCTACTTGGCGCCACTGCCCGCTGCAGCAGCCCTGCCCCCGGCCGCCTCGCTGCCCGCCTCGGCTCTAGGCTATGAGGCACTGCTGACTCCTTCACTCCGCCCCCCGCGCACTTACCTTAACCTGCACGAGACCGCGTCTCATCTCTACTTGCCCCGAGACCCACTGGCCTTCGAGCGCTTCTCAGCCACTGCAACCGCGGCACCGGATTTCCAGCCGCTGCTAGACAACGGTGAGCCGTGTATTGAGGTGGAATGCGGCGCCAACCGCGCACTGCTCTACGTACGCAAACTCTGCCAGGGCAGCAAGGGCCCGTCCATCCGCCACCGGGGCGAGTGGCTCACACCCAACGAGTTCCAGTTCGTCAGTGGCCGCGAGACGGCCAAGGACTGGAAGCGAAGCATCCGCCACAAAGGTGCGCCCGCGGTAGGGGTTTGAGCGGCCGCTGTCCCTCTTCGGTTCCCGGGTTTCTGATTCTGCCACCTGGGACACCTAGCGTTAACCCAGAGGGGGCGCTGCCGCTCCAGGGCTAGTGCTAGGGATCCCCTTCTCCCCCACCCCAGTCCCGCTTGTCCATCCATCCACGCACGAGCGACTTAGTGGGCACAGCAGAGGTTTCTCAGCCTCCCTGATCCCTTCAGCCAAGGCCAAAGCGCTCAGGGGTTCTGAGTCTGAGAGGCCTGAAGGCAGGGGAAGTTTACGGGAACTCGGGAGAGGCTAAATGGGAGGGACGCCTCTTCTCCAGAGGCGCCCAGCCAGCAGTTCCTAACAGGAGTGGTGGGGCGCACTTGCGGCAAGAGTGTGCGCTAGTGGAGGCTGTGTGGGCAGGTGGGGGCCGCGGAACCTAACAACGTTGGAGATACTGCCAGCCACAGCCTGTTTGAACTGTGGATCAGAAGGAGCGATGTGGAGGCTCCTGAGCCGGGTTCAATTAGCGCTAGCGCTGTGTTGGGAGTTACAAAGTTAGCAACCTGAACACGGTCGGTTTAAGGGGTCACGCCCTCCATGAGGCCTACCTCTTCCTACGAGGAAGGGAATGCAGAAGAAAGCCAGATCCCATTCGCACCTCTCATCTCAATCCGGGGCT